TCACAAGGCCCGATTTCCGTGACCCAATCACTTGCCCTAGTCACGTGAGACGTCGGGCCCCCAAATTGCAGTTGTTTATTGGAGCTGAATACTCTCACTGAAAGCGTTTTGACTTAATTTTCGAAACCTCCATCCCTTTTTCTTCCTTGCCATCCATTTAGCTCTGGTTTACAGTAGATCCTTGGTACAGACGTCAGATTTTTGATTATCTTGTTGCATCCCTGCTTTATCCGAGTTTGATTAGGCAAGATACAAAGTTAGTGCTGATTCTGCCTTCTTCTAATCTTTTGTTCATTAAATTTTTTCTTCCTAGGATGTCGATGGCCTCCTAAATCTTCAGTTTTTTGTGCTTTTCTTCATTCGACTTCCTTCCAATTGATCTCGTGTCCAATCTCTGCGATGTGTTCTGCTATACCTCATATTTCAGTATCCATTTTCCTGCAGAGACTTTGATGTTCCTTGATTCGTGTGACGATTTTTCTCTCAGTTTCTCCAATGTATTTCCTTTTTCAGACGCCGCATGCGTGGGTAGAGTTGTAAAGTGTGTTGTTTTTTCCTTTGTGGTCGCCTGAATATCCTATTTTTTTAACATTAGCCGTAGTTTTGAGCTATTTCACAGGAAGGGAGGCATATCCACATTTCTGATTCTTTCTCTATCTTTATCTTTCTATCATGATCACCGTCGTGCCATTGGCTCTTTACGGCCAGTATGTTTCTTTGAAGTACTTCTCTCGCATATCCATAACCGATAAATATCCGAGTCAATTTTTCCAATTCTTCATTCCAGAATTCCACGTCCATTAATCGTAGGCTCCTGATGATCATGCTCCTTAGTATGCTTATCTCCATTCTGTAGTTGTAATGAGATTCGAAATTGAACATTATTCCAGCATAGGACTTCTTTCGAAACAAGTTCCTCTTGAGTGTCCCATAAGAGCGAATGACCTCCACATCTAGCAAGACCAAACGCCTCTCTTCCCCTACATCCATCGTGAATTTGATATTTCCATCAACCCCCCTCCTAAACTTCAGGTAATCCTCCAACTTTTCTCTTTCATACAACCATATTGGAATGTAGTCATCCAGGTAGCGCATAAGAACTCTTGGTTGAAGCGGCGATACCTTAAAATTATCTTCTAATTTGTCTACATGTACATTTGCCAATAGAGGTGAGGGAGGTGATCGCATAGGAAGTCCAAATGTATGTTTATAGATGTTGCCATTGAATATGAAGTAGGTAGTACTTATTGTAGTCGAGTAATTGTGTTAACGACTCCATTCTGATACTCTCTGCTGCTAGGATAACAGGGCCGTCAGCGCCCTTTCCCAGAAATATTTGTGTACATAGATTGTACACCAAAACTTACTACTAATTTTGTTTCTTCTATTGTTCTGTTTTTGATCCTCTAAGAACATTTATATGAGTGCTTCACTGTGTTTGATAATCTATTGTTTACCTTCTTGAGTTTCAGACATATGAACTTGGCTAATTTGTGTGCTGCTTCAAACTTGTTGTTAACTATCAGCCATAGTGGTTCTCCTTCGGTAACCCATAGGCTGTTGGTGGTCATGCCTCCTTTATTATTAGTGAATTGATTGTCCATCCATTGATCTCCCCATTTCTGTGCATATCTTTCAACATGTCCTGTAGAGTTCTATTGATCTTCTTAGTTGGGCCCTTCTTTAGTAAACGATAGGTAGTCCTGTCTTGCAGTAGACATTCTATTTTCTCTGTATATTGTTTTCTGTCCATTACAACTGTCGCTCCTCCTTTGTCCGCCTGAAGGACCAATTGTTCATTCATTTTCAGTATTCCTCGTATCCTCGCAAATCTATTATTGTGCATTGGTTCATAATGTGTCGGGATTCTAGGGATTATTTTCATCTCCATTTCCCGTTTTGTCTCCTTAGGGAACTTGTCAGAGATATTGATGACCTCAAACAGCATGTTCTCTAGAATAGTTCTGTCACTTTGAAGAGAAAAGTTTAGTCCTTTCTTTAGGATCGTAGTGGTTTCAGGATCAAGGGAAAGCGAGGAAAAATTCACCAGCTTGCTCCCTTTGTCGTACTGTTCAGTAGGTGTCACCGCCTTGAAAGCCCTTTCAATTATGTGCATTTGCTTTAATTTATGTTGCCTTATAATTCCATACCTAAGCAATTTATTAACGTGTTTTTTGTTAATAAGTCAGAGATCCTACGTGATTTCCTGTCGATCATACTCTGGAGTTTGTGAAACTCGTCAGCAGTCAGAATCCTATAAACTTAAATAGCTTATTCCTTTCCATAGCATAGGTTTCATTTAACTTGTGCAAGGAAGTCTGGTGAAGAATCTCATTAACCCTATCTCAATGGAAGGGATTCTTAACGTCCAGTAGTGATACCATAACGTTTACAAAAGTCTAAAAAGGCCAAATGGCACGAATGACTTATAATTGTCTTCTTTTTCAGGATGTACTTGGTGCATTGTTTGGAAATCTTACTTCCATAGTTTAATCGAAGGTATCAAGACCAAAGGGGTGTGGATTTTTGTGTGGTTGCAGCTGCCAACTAAACGTCTGAGGATAATCCGAGTCAACAGTCAGAGGTCAGTTCGAATAGACAACTGCAATTTGGGGGCCCGACTTTTCACGTGAAAAGGGCGAGAGATTGGGTCACGGAAATCGGGCGTTGTGATCAAATGGGCCAATAATCCACTTGAGATGCAGAAGGCGACCAGAGTAGATGTCCAAAGTTTGCTCAGGGTACACGGGCTAACTCGAGGTGATGATATGTGAAGATAATGCCTAATCTCCGCAGGCATGGGAATCAGAGCTTAGGCGCTCTGTCGATGAGGCGACTTTTTACGTGCTACTGAAGTGTTGAGAAGTAGCACTTTGAGTAAAAGTACTCTGTGGCTGGAACCGAGTGAAATCGGTCAACCCAAAAGTTAAAAAGTCGATCTACAGGCCCATGAGGCAGATCCGGTCAGGAGACTAGAGCAGGATGAGCCTCTCGAAAGGGAGGAGAGCAAGGCAAATAGTAGATGTGATGATGCCATGGCAAATTCTTTAAAAGGGTACATCTCTTGTGGACTCACCGACTACGAGGCCGGCGAAACGTCGGGAAATGTACCGGGTCCACGGTATGACTCTGGAAATGAA